AAGTCCAGCATGCCCTTCCAGTGCTTCCGTGCAGTTCCCTCCACCAGGAGTGCCCTTCTGGCCTCTCCCACGGCCAGCCAGGTCCTGCCCCGACACCTCCTCACCTCTGAGCCAAGCAGCCCCTGCCACTCGCCGCCCTGTGGGATTTCTCCACTGAACCGTCCGCCCTCTGAAATGATGCTATTTATTTATCTGTTTACTTTTGGCTTTCTCCTCCAGCATCTGCAGGGCAGGGACATCTCTTTCCAGGCCTGGCCCACTGCATGGCTCAGGAGGGAGGCAGGGAGGGAGGGAGGGAGGGAGGCAGGGATAGTAACAGAAGCATCCGGAGCACACAGCATCCTCTCAGGTGCACCACGCTCGTGCCCTCTGGCCACTTTAGGGCCCATCATTGCCTGCAGAGCAGTGGCCACATTCCATCCAAACAAGGATGCCTCTGAACCCCTCTCCTCTCCTTTAGATGAAGAAACTGAGGCTGAGAAAAGACCCCGTCCCCAGGGGTTTGCCTAGAGAGCCTGGGAGCCGCCACCAGGAGGGACGATGTCCAGGGAACACTAGCCTCAGGTGGGGGCCGGTGCTGCAAAGGAGGCTGGGCCCTGCGCACCCCAGCCAGGCTGCCTGGCTTCCAGGGGCCTTATCCTGCTCCAAGCAAAGCCAAAGGACAAAGTCTCCTGCCTCAGGTGTGCATTTCCTCAGCCTGTCATTAGCAAACACTCTGCTTCCAGAGCAGTGGTTCTCAACCAGAGACAACGTGGTCATCCCCCCATGGGGGTGTCTGGAGAAACTCTAACATCTGGAAAAACTTTTAGTTGTCACAGCTGGGGAGGAGGTTGGTGGCATCTAGTGGCATTTCAATGCCACTCAGCACCCTACAAAGCACAGGACAGCCCCCACATCAAGGAACGACCTGACTCAAAGTGCCAGCAGTGCCAGGCTGAGAGGCCCTGTCCATGGAGTGACCTTCCTTGTGGCCACGGCTTCTGGGTGGCTGGAGCAGGACAGGCTTTCCGAGCGGCCAGTCCAGCCTCCTACTGCACAAACGCGGGCAGGGCCAGTGGGGCAGGGACACACCCGGCACCGCCAGGAAGGACCAGGCTGGACGCAGGACACCCGCCCGATAAGCTGGCTGGCCCCTGGGGCGGGTGGGCGTGGGAGGGGACGCAGCCATCTGCTGAAGGTGAGGAGCCCGTTCGCAGGGCAGTGCAGGCGGGCCAGCTGCCAGCACGTGCTACCCACCTCCCTTGGGACAAGGACATTAGCTTGCCTCTCACGCCTGTGGCAGAGGAAGCTGGCTGTGCCTTTGAAAGGCGGCAATTACTGGCTGGAACCTTTGTTTCTGAATTCCCAGGCTGTGCACGGGCCTCCAGAGCCACTAGCCCGCGGGCAGGCCTTCTCAGAGGCTCGGCCCGACACCAAGCTGGCGCCCCAACTGCACAAAAAGGGCACGAGGCCTGGTAGAGGTGGGAGCCCTGTGTCCTAGTCCTGGGTCTGGCACCAGTGCTCCTTCTGGTCTCTGGAGCAGACACCAGATCTGTTTTCCTCATCTGTGAAATGGGAACATTATCTTGGCCAAGGCTGCTGTGAGGGTTGGGAGTCAGGACACATGTGACGGCAGGGTCACAGGAATGGGGCAGATCCCATTTAGCACCTGCCTCTTTGCTGTCCCTCAGAGGTCTAAACATGTTCCACCTCAGGGCCTTTGCACGGCTGTTCCCACCAGGGATGCTGGGAAACTCTTCACCTTCCTTCCTCTCCAGTCTTGGGTGAAATGGTGCCTCCTCAGAGGTGGCTTCCCTGCCCACTCTCCCGTCACTCTCTAATCCATTTACCCAGATTCAGTTTTCTTCACAGTCTTATCACCACCTGACACATATTAAAAACCAATCTCTTTGTCCCTTTGCTGCCTGGCCCCTGCCAACGCGGAAGCTCTGCGAAGCCAGCAGGACTGTTTGCCGAGGCTTCCCGAAGGCCCACGGCTGCAGGTGCTGGGAAGCAACGGCTGAGTGGCCGAGGGCCTGCTGCCTTGCTCACCCCAGCTGCACTCCCGAGAGGGAGCACTGGGTCTCTGGCTGTGCCCTCAGGCGCGGCCCGCCCCGCCGGCCTGATGGAGAAGTGTGCGGCCATCCTGAGCCGGCAGGGGCCCAGTGAGGACCAGCCCCGTACCCTGGACCAAGGAGCCTCATGTGCCCTCCCTTCACTCCAGAGCTTTCCTGGCCCGGTCCAAGCAGGGTGCCTGACTGGCTGGCCAGCGGGTGGACAGTGCAGTGGGGCCACACTGCCATCAGCAACGCGGGTGCCTGGGAGAGAAGCCGACAGCTCAGCTGCCTACTGGAGTTTCCTCGACCTTCATCTCTGCGGCCAGGCCCACCCTGACACAGACACCCACAGACCTGCTGGCACCCCAAGCCAGCTCGGCAGGGGCACGTGTGTGTGTGTGTGTGTGTGTGAGTGTGCAGTCACATATGTGCCAAACGGGGTATGGCCATGGGTGCGTCCAAGTGCAGGTGTATGTGAGTCTGTGCACAAGAGTGAAGGTGCAAGAGTCTGACCGCAGGAAGAACTGAGTGTGGGAACGTTCTGGAGTCTGTGCGTGGATGGGAGCCCTGGAGCCCCGGGCATGAAAGGAGAGAGTGCTATGGGTTTGGGCGCCCAAATGCTCACATCCTGGCTCTGCCTCCCTGCTTCAAATCCCAAACAAGTGACTTTGGCAAAGTGGGCTGATGATAGGCCTGCTTGCTAGTCACAAGGACTGTCAGCTTTCATTCCACAAAGCAGACATTGTTGATCATCAGCGGTGTGACTGTGGGCGTCCATGTATAGGGTCACATGATTGTGTGCGCATGCATATGCACACATGCACACATGTGCACAACCTGGCTCTCTGCCCTCCAGGGGCACACCTTTGGGTGCTGCCACCCCAGGGCCCCTTGCTCCTTGCAGCTGCGGGATTCAGAGCTGGTCCAACAGCTGTCCTGTTCCTCTGCAGCATCCACTGCAACCTGGACATGTGGCCAGCCCTGCTTGGCATCTCCAGCGACAGGGCTTACCACCTCACAGGTCTCCTTTGGGCTTGTTCAGAAGTCCCCTCACAGAGGCCAAGCTCCTCAGCAGGACGCAGCTCTTGCCAGCCCTCCACCGCCCTCCCTCCTGCCCCGTGCCCTGGCACACCCCCCAGGCTCCTCTCTCTGCCTCCAAACGGGACAGGGCAACGCACACAGCACGGCGCCCTCCTGCAGATGCACATCCACGCACCCGGCAAGGCCCGAGCCACCCCACTCCCAGAAGGAGCTGCCTGTGATTTGTCTTTCTTGCCAGGAGACTGGGAGGGAGCTCTGCTGACTTCTAATCCAGGGAACTTTCCTCTACAGCAGTCTCAATCCTTTTTGTATGAAAACAGAGTATGCTGTTTTGGAAGACATCTGATGGGAACATCAAGATACAAAGCACATAGGGCAGAGACCCCAGACACTCCAGCTTCCGCCAAGCGCAGGCTGCAAGCCGTTAGAAACCGTTGCTTTCTCCCCTGGGCGGCAGCCGTGGTGGTCATGGGAATGCCAGACACAACTGGACCTCAGGGACCCAGTGGCCTTGAGTCTCGGAGGGACTCTAGACAGCAGCCTGATCCTCAGGGGCCTTCAGCTGGGCCCTGGACTTTGGGGGCACATGTGGCTGAGCCCTGGTCTTTGGGGGACCTTTGGCTGGGCCCTGGTCTTTGGGGGAGCTTTGGATGAGCCCTGATCTTTGGAGGACCTTTGGCTGAGCCCTGGTCTTTTGGGGAACCTTTGGCTGAGCTCTGGTCTTTGGGGGACCTTTGGCTTAGCCCTGGTCTTTTGGGGAACCTTTGGCTGAGCCCTGATCTTTGGGGGACCTGTGGCTGAACCCTGGACTTTGGGGGACCTTTGGCTGAGCCCTGATCTTTGGAGGACCTTTGGCTGAGCCCTGGTCTTTGGGGGACCTTTGGCTGAGCCCTGATCTTTGGGGGACCTTTGGCTTAGCCCTGGTCTTTTGGGGAACCTTTGGCTGAGCCCTGGTCTTTGGGGGACCTTAGGCTGCAGCCCTGGTCTTTGGGGGACCTTTGGCTGCAGCCCTGGTCTTTGGGGGACCTTTGGCTGCAGCCCTGGTCTTTGGGGGACCTTGGCTGCAGCCCTGGTCTTTGGGGGACCTTTGGCTACAGCCCTGGTCTTTGGGGGACCTTTGGCTGCAGCCCTGGTCTTTGGGAGAACTTTGGCTTCAGCCCTGGTCTTTGGGGGACCTTTGGCTGCAGCCCTGGTCTTTGGGGAACCTTTGGCTGCAGTTCTGGTCTTTGGGGGACCTTTGGTTGGAGTTCTGATCTTTGGGGGACCATTAGCTGTAGCCCTGGTCTTTGGGGGACCTTCGGCTGCAGCCCTGGTCTTTGGGGGAACTTTGGCTGCAGCCCTGGTCTTTGGGGAACCTTTGGCTTAGCCCTGGTCTTTCAGGGATCTTTGGCTGAGCCCTGATCTTTGGGGGACCTCTGGCTGAGCCCTGATCTTTGGGGGACCTCTGGCTGAGCCCTGATCTTTGGGGAACCTCTGGCTGAGCCCTGATCTTTGGGGGACATCTGGCTGAGCCCTGGTCTTTGGGGGACCTCTGGCTGAGCCCTGGTCTTTGGGGGACCTCTGGCTGAGCCCTGGTCTTTGGGGGAAGCCCTGGTCTTTGGGGAACCTTTGGCTGCAGCCTTGGTCTTTGGGGAACCTTTGGCTGAGCCCTGATCTTTGGGGGGCATCTGGCTGAGCCCTGATCTTTGGGGAACCTTTGGCTGCAGCCTTGGTCTTTGGGGGAACCTTTGGCTGCAGCCCTGGTCTTTGGGGGACATCTGGCTGAGCCCTGATCTTTGGGGAACCTTTGGCTGAGCCTGGTGCTTTGGAGGAACCTCTGACCTGCTGCCTGTCTTTGGGGGACTTTGGGCTGAGCTCTGGTCTTTGGTGAACCTTTGGCTGAGCCCTGGTCTTTGGGGAAACTAGGCTGAGCCCCGGTCTTTCGGGGACCTCTGGCTGAGCCCTGATCTTTGGGGAACCGCTGGCTGAGCCCTGGTCTTTCAGGGATCTTTGGCTGAGGCCCTAGGTCTTTGGGAACCTTTGTGGCTGGAGACCTGGTCTTTGGGGGACCTTTGTTGAGGCCCTGATCTTTGGGGAAACCCTTGGCTTAGCCCTGATCGTTGGGGACATATGACTGCAGCCTGGTGTTTGGGGAGCCTCTGGCTGAGCCCTGATCTTGTGGGGAGACCTCTTGGATGAGCCCTGAGTTCGCTTTGTGGGGACCTTTGGCTGCAGTCAGAGGTTCCCCAAAGACCAGGGTCAGCCGGAGGTGCCCAAAAGGACCAGGGTGCAGCCACGAGTCCCCCAAAGACCAGGGCTCAGGGCCAGAGGTCCCAGAAAGATCAGGCCAGGCAGAGTCCCCCAAAGATCAGGCTCAGCCAGAGGTCCCCCAAAGATCAGGGCTCAGCCAGAGGTCCCCAATTACTCAGGGCTCGCAGCAGAAGGTCGCCCAAAGACCAGGGCGTCGCCAGAGGTTCCCCCAAAGGACCAGAGCTCAGCCAGAGGTCCCCCCAAAGACCCAGGATCAAGCCAGAGGTCCCCCAAAATATCAGGGCTCAGCCAAAGATCCTGAAGACCCAGGGGCTAAGCCAAAGGTTCCCCAAAGATCAGGGCTCCAGCCAAGGTCGCCCCCATAAGGACCAGGGCTCAGCCAAGAGGTCCCCCAAGAAGGACCAGGGCTCAGCCAAGAGCTCCCCCACAAGACTCAGCTATGAGAGGACCTCTGGCTGAGCCCTGGTCTTTGGGGGACCTCTGGCTGAGCCCTGGTCTTTGGGGGACCTCTGGCTGAGCCCTGGTTTTGGGGGACCTCTGGCTGAGCCCAGGTCTTTGGGGAAACTTTGGCTGCAGCCCTGGTCTTTGGGGAACCGCTGGCTGAGCCCTGGTCTTTGGGGGACCTCTGGCTGAGCCCTGGTCTTTGGGGGACCTCTGGCTGAGCCCTGGTCTTTGGGGGACCACTCCACACTACAGGTACTCTCAGGGGACATGTCAGCAGGACTTCTGGTCCTTGGGGGAATTTTTCAGGGCTGCATGGGGGGCAATCTCCCTAGATGCCTCCTGGGCCCCTAGGTGCGGGCGGCCGGCGTGTGCCTGTGGCGCGAGCCAGGATGGAGGGAGGGCGAGACAGTACCTGTAGCGGTCAGTGGACAGGCTGCTTCCGGTCTCCAGGGAGCTCCTGAGGTAGCGAAAGCGAGACAGGGTTACTGACGGCCCCACACAGGACAGACCCCTTGGGCCCATGCTTGCTCAGCCTCCACCGGGGCCCTAGGACAGGCCCTGGGACAGTGGGCAGTGCTGGGAAGAGCGTCTGCCCCGCACGCAAGAAACCATGTGCTTTCTTTCCCTCCGCTGGGTCAGCAGGAAACCGCCTTGTTCCCACCCCAGGCGCCATGGCAGGGCCTTCAGTCGCAATGGGCCTGGCAACATTAAGTCCGACCTCCCGCTCCAGCCCGGCTCAGGAGGCCACAGATGGCTCTCGCCCTGGGGTCGGAGCCCACCCAGGCCACACGCCGCTGGCGCAACGGCTCTGCCTGCCTGCCAACAGTGCCTTGCCACAGCTGGAGGGGAAACGGACACGTGAGAGGCGGCGTCAGGACAGCCGGAGCTCTCTTCCTGGGCTGGCCACAGGCCCAGAGCACTCTGGGCTGGCGACAGGCTTTAAGGAGGGAGAGTGGGCAGGGCTGGCAAGCAGGCCTCGCCCTCCCGCCCCCTGGGCCAGGACCAGGCTGGGAGTGGTGAGGAATGCCAGCCTTCAGGAAGCCCCAGGTCTGGACAAGAGAACCATCCCCATGCCCCAGCCTGGCTGCTCAGCTGCAGATGTGCCCACATGGCACACTAGCAAACTGCAGCAGAGATGCAACACAGCAGGGTGGGCCCCCCCAGGCACAGCCCCTGCTCCCAGGCCTGGAGCTGCCTTGCATCAGCAAGGGATTCAGCTCCCAGCTGCTGACCACAGCATGAACAGCTGTATCCTTACCTCCTGCAGGGAGCTCACCCCCTGCTGGCTGCTTTTCCAAACACTTTCTCATCTAACCTCATGAGGCATATGGAATCATGTCCCTCTTTACAGATGTTGAAGGTGTGGCTGAGCATACTTAGAACACCATTCCATTCCCTGCCTCTTCATCCAGTAACAAACTCCGATTCACCCTTCAAAACCGTGCTAAAATGTCAACTCCTTTGTGCAGCCTTCTCTGACTGCCTACCCTGCCCCGCCCCTGCAGACTCCTTTCTTCTTCTTTCCTTGTTCCTTTCCACTCTTCTTCCTTCCCTTCCTCTCTTCTTCTTTCTCCCGCTTCCCTAATAACTGTGAACACTTTTTGAGCAGTTCCTAAGTGGTAGGTAATAGTGTTAACACTTACACATATTAATTCAGTCCTCACCCCAGCTCCACGAGGGAGGCACAGTGACACTACCATATTGTGAGGCATGGGCCCACAGAGCGGACTGTGTGCGGTGGCCCCAGCCGGGCAGCACGGTCCCCGCAGTCTCCCCGTGAGGCTGGGGAGCGGCTGCAGGGCGCAGCCTGAGCGGCTGTGATGCTCACGCCCGGCCCACTCGGCCTGCCGCGGGCCCAGCTCTGCACACCACGGTAGGCGGTGGCCCTGCCTGGCCCTCTACTTCTCCCCACCATGTCCCTGCCCACCTCTAGGCCCCAGAGCACCCAGCAGGACGGGCTCTGCCAGCCACCCTGCTGGGTGCAAGCTGTCTGCAGCTTTGTTTGGCCAAGACTGAGGCCTTGGTCTCCTTGCCACCTTCTTCATGGCTCAGCCCAGCAGTGAGTGGAAAAAGCCCTGAGCGAGGGGCATGGGGTCCTCAGAGAGGCCACCATCCCGGCAGACTTGGATCTTGAACCCATCCGGACTGGTGTGAGCCCTGAGCTGACAACAGAACCTTTACGCCTCGGCCTTCAAATCTGGAACACGGGACAGCAAGAGCAGTGCCTCTCTCCCAAAGACGCTGAGGAGAAAGGAGTGCTGCCCGCAAAACAGAAGTGCTCTGCAAACCAGAAGGTGCCATCACACACGTATCTGAGTTACTCACGTAGCTACTGTCACACATATAATCCTGTATGTTGAGACATTAAAGCTTACAGGTTAACATGTGAGTTCCAGAGACAAGAAGGGCAGAGTTCAAATCCCACCTGTGCCATGTACTAGCTATGTGACCTTGTGCAAGTTAATTAACTTCTCTGTGCCTCATTTTAGTTTTAGTTTTTTTTACCTACAGTGTTTTGGGAAGATTAAACAGAGTTAATACATTTAAAGGACTTAGTGCCAGGAAGAGAGTCCACATTCTTTAAATGCTAGCTGTCAATACACCTTATATAGTATTATATCACCTATGAAATAATAGTATACAAATAACATATAAACGTTATACTAATACACATATATAACATATTCTATTAACATTATTATCTCATATATATGACCTTATTTTATATAATGGGCAAACAGGCTCAGAGAGGTACAGCAACTGGCTCAGTGGCATCCGGCCGTACTGGAGGCTTGCTAGTCCAGAGCTCTGTCCGCCCTGCTGGGGCTGATTCACCTCCCTTGCCCAGGTGTCCCAGGATCTTTGGGGACCTTTGGTCCGAGATTCATGGACACACAACCCCAGTCACCCAGGCAGGACTCCAGCCCCTCCTCTATCCTTCCCCTGGCTCAGGAAACAAACGGCCCATTCCGGCCATCCTGTCCCAGCCCTACTCCAGCAGCCTCCTGGGCGGCTTCTTCCTTTTTCTTTGCAGAACGCACCGGCTGTCCTGGGCCCGCTTCCTGGCACAGCTCCTGAACAGCACCAGCCATGCCCCAAAGTCCACGCGCAGGGAACTGCTCGCTCTGTGCCGTATGACGTCAAAGAGGCTCCTGGGGGCTGGGCTGTGGCTGGCAGCAGCATGACAGGAGTCTGGTGGGGGCTGGGAAGTCTGTTCTACAGTCTGGGTGCTGGTTACATGAGTGTGTTCAGTTTCTGGCAATTCTACAAGCCATACGCTGATGAAGTACCCACTTTTCTGTGTGTATATGTATATAATATTGCAGTAAAAATTTATATGAAGATAAAAACTAAATAGCTGGTTCACAACCTGGCTCCAGCCCCAGCCTGAAGTGGCAGAAAAACCCAGGCCTTAGGCTCAGATGGGGCTGGTGCTCACCCCTTCCTCTCCCACATGGCCTCAGGAAAACCCCTTCCCCTCTCTGGCCTCAATTTCCCTCCGCTGAATGAGGAAGTGGTCAGTGTGCCCATCGCTGATGTACGGTAGACACCCTGGGTTGCTCTTAAGAAATACTGATGCTTGGGCCCTGACCCAGACCAATTAAGTCAGAAGCTAAATTCCCACACCTTGGGCTTTAAAAAAAATAAAAGCTTTATTTGAAATAACCATAGATGCTCAGGGAGTCCCAAACATTTGTGCAAGGAAGTCCCATGCACCCGTACCCCGCCTCCCCCACGGAAACGTGTCGTGCAGCCCTGTGCCCCTTGGTACCTGTTCAGATCTCACCAGTCACACACACAAGCCTGCGTGCGTGTGCATGCGTGCGGGTAAGTCTGTCCCCTAGGTAGCCGTGTGAGACCTCTGCCACGACCGAGCCACTCGGGCTGCCCTCTGTGGCCACCCTGTCTGCTGCGTGCGAGCCCTCCACCCCCATCATTCTGTCCTTCCCAGGGTGTGACACCAATGGCCCCTCCCCGTGTGTGCTTCTAGGACTGGCTTCCATGCTCTGCCCGCCGCTCCACATGCGCTCGGCTGCGTGTCCGCAGGCCGCTGCTCTCTGCTGCGGAGCCGTGCTCCCAGGCACACGTGTGGCCGTTTCTACAGCCGCCGCCCGCAGGGGCGTCTGCGCAGTCTCCAGTTCGGGGGCTGGCATGACTAGGACCGCCACGAGCATTCCTGGACAGGTTTTGTGTGAACGTAAGTCTTCGTTTCTTGGGAATAAATGCCCAAGGGTAGAACGGCTGTATTGTGCAGCGAACTTACGTCGAGTTTCAAAAGGAACCGCCAGACTGTTTTCCAGAGAGGCCGTGCCATCTTGCCCTCCCACCAGCAACGGGGGCGCGCTCCAGTTTCCACGCAGCCTTCCCAGCATTCCACGCTGTCACTGTTTTCGTCTTGGCCACGCAGGCCGAGGTGTGTGGAGTGACGTCTCACTGTGGCTGTGGCTCGGTGGCACGCCTGCTGGCACGCACCTGCCGTGGAAGCAGTCGATCCCAAGGGCTTTCCATGCTCCGACAGCTCTTCCCATCCTAGAAAGAGCACGCTCACTGCAGTGGGAGCAGCAGCCCCCGTGTTTTCTGGAAGGAACAGCCAGAGGGGCCCACGGCGGGCCCAGGCTGCCACAGGTAGCTCTGAGCTCTCTCGGGCCGAGAAGTGACCCTGTTTGCTCCCTGGAAGGAGGGGAGGGGAGGCTGTGGAGGCTGCCCACACCGCAGGGAGTCAGCCCAAAGCAGGGGCTAGCGGGCAGCTCTGCGTCTGTGCCTGGGGCGGGGCACCCGCGGGAGCTTGAGGCCTGCAAGGGGCTGTCTGTGGTCTTTGCCTCCACTCCCAAAGGGAGGCACAGAGCTCTCTGTGCCACTGTTCCTCTCCTGCCTACTGAATGAGCCACACAGTGTCACTGCACCAACTTGAGAAAACAACAGCTAAACACAACAAGGAAAACGAAATTATCCGCCACGCCGACTCCCCAGGGACACGCCAGTGCTGATATCTGAGATCTTTCTGGTCGGCGTCTCTCTGCACACATGCCTGCGTGTGGGCGCAGATGTGTTGCAGTCACACAAAAACACGCTCTGCTCTGTGCAGCACTCTGCCCCAGCGCCGTCTCCGCGGCACGTGGGGTCTGGAGAGGAGCCTGGCAGGGCTGCGCCGCCCTGGTGGGCGTGGGCGTGGGCATGGCGCCCGCTGCCCTGGCAAACAGGGCGGTGGCGAGCGGTGGCGGCGGGCGTGTGCGCACGGCCAGTCGGCCCTTCAGGGCCGATCCCTGGAGCTGCGTGGCCGCGGCGGGAGTGCTGCCACGGCTCTGGGTGCACGTGGGTGCTGCCCCGGAGGGCTGGGCCAGCCGCTGGCTACAAGTATTTGGCCATTCTTCGGGCTCCAGAATTTCTCTGGGGCAGAGACGAGGG